ACATATGTACCATAGAAGAGATGTAAAGCTAACTTAGACTTGAAGAGTTGTAAAGTTTTCCCAGAGGAGTCAAGGAGAGGAAAACAAGGGTGCGCCTGAAGGCCATATCGATCAGAGCCCCACCCTCTACCTCTGTAATGAGATTTAGTGCTGTGGTTGTTGCAGAAGCAGATTGGTCACCTGGGGCTAAGTGCGGTGGCTTTCCTGGATGTGGTGAAATGGGCACTGGACCAGGGTCACAACCAACGTGGACATAGCTTGAAATGAAATAGAGATTAACAGCTAACATCAGGGATGTGCTTTATAATGTAAAGATGAGGAACAAGTGATGACTAGAGGGAAATCTCAGAAAATGCCTGTTGGGCACATGGAGCTAATTACTGCAGACAGTCGATGTCTGGACTGGTCTCCATGGTAACAAGATGGGCCAGCAGGAATGGCCAGCACAGATGAGGAAATCAATGTCCAGACAGACAAAGCCACACTCATAAATACTAGAAGTGCTTTTAAAGTTCTGTGTGTTTCAGATGTACATAGATGGAAAGTTAAAATTGTATAGTTGGTATAGTAGTTGGTATTTTAAAAATGTATTTATTGGTTTTATCCATTTTATTCTTCTACCGCCTTTATTAATTGATTTTATAATTTTTATTCATTGATTCTATCATTATTATTATTATTATTATTTTATCTATTGATTGTATTAGTTCCTGTTGTTTGAACATAATTCTGCTCACTTTTTAGAGTTAAATGTTTTGCATTGCTATGTGAAGCACTTTGGAAACTGTTTTGTTTATAAAATGTGCTATACAAATAAAGTTAGGTTGGATTGGATCATCTTTTAAAGGAACTTTATGTAGCCTGCGCTCTTACAGTTTTAAAAGTACTACTATCACATCTGAACCTGTGTTGCCAGTGCCTAAAGTTGCAGATAGAAGACACATGCATTCTTAGTATATGGACAGATCATGCCAAGTGTGGAAGCTCAGAACGACTTTAAATGACTCATAGAGCTGCAGAGGCTGCACTAACAGCAATTAATGTTAGTCTACATGTGCTGGGGTTTAATGACGATTCAGATCAGAGTCTTTAGTTTTAAACCAACAGAATATCAGCATTGAATCCATTTGTTACCATTTTGGTAACCAGAATGCGAGACTCGGGTGAGGCTTATTCTGCTCAACTGGATAAATGTCTTGACAGGCAAAACAATGTTAAATGTTTGTGTCATTAAAAATATATGGTTTGATGAATTGATTTGAACATGTTTACCTCATATCTGGGGTCACAATGATTGGTCATGCTTATGGAATTTATCAAAATCTTCCTTTTATGTCCAATCTCCTGACTTTGTGAAGGAAAGCTCTGTTGCTCTGTTTATGTGATTGACATGTTGTGGTCTGAGGTTTATAATATAAATTGTAAAGTCTTGAAATTATAATGACAATTGGTTATACGATGAGTATGTTATGTATACACTACTACAGCCTCATGGTGCCATCTACTGCTTTTTTTTTTCTAATTGGAGAAATACTTTAGTACCACTGTTTATGTAAGAAATCAGCTGGACAGGTTGAGACAAGTATGCAGATGTGAGGGATTGTGTGTACGAATAGTTTAATGGAAAAAGGTAAAGGTTAATATCTTTGTTTGGACTTTGATTGTTGAGCACCATCTTGTGCACCTGCAGTATATAGTGCTGCTAAGGTCATGTTGACCCAATGATAACTGTGTGTGTGGTGCTCCGATGAGTCACAAACCTGCTGAGCTGGAGACCGATCGACCTCACATAAATGTCTTGTCCAAACATTGACTCTTAACTTCAACAGACTTTGATATGAGGCATTCATATAGGTGTTATTGTCTTGGTGACAACTTGGCAGAAATATGAAAATAGCATTTAATAGTATTTGCAATAATTCTTGCTGTACCTGTAGATCTCTGCAAACATGTTCTGAAAGGCATTCTTGTATTATTTTATCATAACAAAAGAAAAATTGTAATTCTGTCAACTGGACAAAGGTTTGTTGGAGTGAAGACGCTTCTTCAGTTCTGAACTGAAGAAGCTGTTTAGATGAGCAGTGAACGTCTTCACTCCAACAAACCTTTGTCCAGTTGACAGATTTAGAATGTTTCTTTTGCTTTGGATCATATCTGGACAACCGAGGGATTACGCAGACATTTATCAGTTTGCTTCAATCGTCTCTCAAATGTTAATGTTCCTGGAGCTTTTTACAATGAGCACTATGAGCAGAAACAAACTTTTTAAACATATTGCAAATTAAATCGCTATCACAATACCAAGATAGTGTATTTGTCTTTAGATTGTCTTTTAAATAAAATTATTGCACTTGTTATTGTTATTGCACAGTGACACTTGAGGAAACGATATTATCCGCTCCCTCCCAGCAATCAGTGTGTTTTTGTTTACATTCCCTCCCCTCCCCCTTCCTCTGCTGTACTCTCTCCAGGCAAGTGTCTTACATCAGATCTCTTGACGCATTTATAGCAGGCTTTTGAAGCTTAGGACTCCCACAGTGGCCAAATATAGTAAACGTGAACCTAGCAGCTCTTTGTGTGGAAACGTGTGCGTTCTCCTGAGTAAATGGCTCTAGGGTAAAAACGTGTTTGTTATTGTTCCCAGCACTTCGCCTGTAGACAACACTGCCAATTAAAGGGGAGGTTTTATGTGTTAAGAGCAGGAAGTGTTATCGTGTGTGGCTGCACGCTATTGGCTGCTCTCTTTCTTCCATGTTTCTTCCCTGGGGACTAAGCAGCCTTTACTGCCATGGCCAAATGAAAGGTAAACACTACACACCTTTGATCAGTATTTGCATTAAAAGACCTTACGGGAACTGTGTGTTTTTGTGTCTTTGGTTTTGTGTGTGTGTACCAAACATAAAAATTACTGAATGAAGTGAGGTTCACGTGCGTTCGCTCATCTTAATGCTGAAGGTGCTCTCTATGATGTTTCCTCCTTTTGTTATTCAAGTCGTAGTGAAATCATGCTTCCCTCCACCCCTATCCACTAGGCATGAAAACAAAACAAGGCGTTGTATGAATGAAAGTGGGAGGGGCTGAGTGGCCTAGAAAGGCAGGCAGATAGAGCGATAGATAGTTGGACAGGGCAGGCTGTGGCAGACAAGGCTAGAGGAGGACATGCAGTAGGAGGGCATGAATGAATCGGGGAGCTCACTGAAGCATATAGCCCGGACATCCAGGCACTAACACAGATTTGTGTTTAATATTGTACTCAAGGTTGCTATTGGTAACACAAAAACACTGTAAATAGACTTGGACTTAGACAAACTTTCTTGATCCTAAGGGTGATTTCTTGGACACAATACAGCACATATTACAATATAATAACAAAGAGCAACATATTAAATGGCAATACATTTAAAAAAAAACATGGGTAATAAACCAGACCACTCTAACTTGCAATGATCTATGCTTTTGATAATAAGATCATCTTAAAGTAAAAATCTGGTTCTGGTTGATTCATCTGAAAACTCCCTCCATTGAATTTGTAACATTGGTTGTCTTTGTTAAATTGATCTTACATTTATGAAGCTAATTTCTTTTATACCTCAATGTTGGCCCTGCTCCCATTTTAGCCAGTTCGGTCAAGGCTGAAGAGTAAATCTGTCCTCTGCTACATTCAGCTCCTTGGCTACGTCTGCCCCAGCAAGGCCAGGGTTAACCTTAGGCGTCTCTCCTCCCAACATGGAAAAGACCATTGAATGGCTGCCTCCCCCAGCAGCAAACACATTGGCTGAAGCTGAGGGTGGATCTGCGGCTGCTATAACATTCTGGACTGGATCCGGAGCTGGAGCGCCGCATTTGAAATAATGTGGCGGTCACACGCAGCATGTACACAGGCAGCAGACAGACAGAGGGGGAGGGCTGAGGGGGCAGGACTCTGCATTTTTTTTGCATCGATAGAAGACTACAGCGACCAACTTCAGCTCAGTCTTTAAAACACAGTCAAACTAATACTGTGTGAACTGCATTGATTTTTTTTTTTTTTAATAATTGATACTTTGCAGTGACATCACACTGGGTGTTCTGCATGTATCTCTATGGTAGAATGTTCATGTTATAGTAGAGACACAGTGCACATATTTGCAAACACTGCTTTAGATTGCCTAAAAACACAGAATGGATTTGGATTGAGCTTGTGATCAATACTTGTGTCCATAGTCCTGTTTATATTTTGTTTGTCTGACAAAAATGATGAGTGTGACCAACTGAAAAACTGTTGACTAATGCTAGCTAGTTGTGACTGTTATTTTATGTGCAAGAGACTTGCAGAAAATCACGTTGTGTCACGTCGCTGTTGTAGTTCCATCTAAATCAGTTCATTCTGGTCAGATTGTGTTACAGCAAAACTCAGATTAAAGTCTAACTTGAGAAGCAAAACTTTAGACAGAGCAGTGTCTACAGTTAGCATCACACCACCAGGAAATGCTGAAGTATCAGTATGCTTAATTTGTTTGCTTTAAAGTTCCTTCCTCAAACTTATTTTTAAAATCTGACCTTTGGCAAACCATGCCATAGTGATTCCCCATCGTGTCTACTGCCAGTTATTCTGTGGAGCTGGTGAAAAGGTCATTGGGTGGTAAAAGGTGAGATATAATGAGTCTCTCCTGGCCCACAGAGTTAGCTGTAACCTCTACTTTATTAGATCATTACAGAGTACAGGTCAGCGCCAACAGCTAATCCAATCACAGCTGACAGTGAGGCGCTGGGAGCAAATGGGTTCTTAATAGGTCAAATAAATCCTGACAAAGGTGTACAGATGTTGACCACATATGTGTATGTATCACATGACATAGAATTTTAAAACAAAGACAACCCCTGGTATCACAGAATACAACACTATAAATCTAACTAAAAATCAGCATGCCTCTCCTTCATTATTTTCATTTTTTTCATGTTATTTTATTAGTTATATTTATCTGTATCCTGTATGTTTGTATTATTACTTCTGTCCTCAGTGTGTTCGGATAGCTGCAAACATGGAGCATGTACACCCCAGGGCCAGTGCTGCCACGATCAGTGCCTGGGCGGGTGCTCAGAGCCGGGTAACTCCAGCAGCTGTGTGGCCTGCAGGAACCTCCAGCATGGAAGTACTTGTGTAGATAAGTGTCCTCCCGGATACTACATCTTCAGAGGATGGCGCTGCGTCAGCTTCTCCTTCTGCCAGGTTTTTATCATGTGCTATTTCAGACATATGGCTGTAATAAGTGTGCACTCTCTGAAATATGCATTTGTTGTTTTATCTAGGACCTGCACAACCAGTGTCAACAAATAAAGAAGATGAACCAGGACAGGGAATCTAGTTGCTTTGAATATGTCATCCACAATGGCGCCTGCATCCCTGAGTGTCCATCTGGATACACAATAGTAAACGCCACTACGTAAGTCTTATACACCGGCCATCAACACACTAGATAAACCGAAAGTTACAATTTTAACTATGGTTCTTTGGATACCGGATGACGGCAGTTCGCATTTACGCAGAGAACATTTAGTGCTTTCCACACGGCCCTCTGGTGGTCAGGATGAATGAAATAGAACTATTGAAATGGTCATTCATTATTATACTATGATTCAACTTTTGTATTAAGGGCATTTGGGAACTGACTTAACAACAAGCCAGGTATGATTTCTCTTTATGAAGTCTCTGACTTCTCCAGGCAAACACAGTAGTAATAACTGGTAAAGGCTGTTTAAAATGTGAGACTTTATGAATAATTTAATAAAAAGTATAATTTGTTTTAGTGTTAGCCTTAGTTGGTGGTGATTTGGTGAATAAATATCATTAGTGTGTGTCACACTGCATGCATGCATGTTATCCAGATCCCAGTATGGGCTCGCTCTGCTGTGTCTGTGTATCTAGCTTTATGCATGTGTAACATGCAAGGGCACGACCTTATTTACCATTCAACTTGCAGTTGCAGTTACAAGGAATATTGGAGTAGTAACTATATTACTATTTATTTAAAATTTTTGTATTTATTTATTTTTTTTTACAATTGATCTAAACTTGCAGAGAAGTCTTAATGATGGTGTTATAAAAATATATATAATATATATAAGCTTGCCTCACATCAGACACCATAAATCGGCATACATGTTTTTCACATATCTGTTATACTGTTGAGAGATTAAATTTATTATTATTATTATTATTATCATTATTGTAAGTAAACAGAATGATTTGGGGGTTTATTTACAACGGGAGTGAACAGGAAAGGCTATGCACTTTGGCTCGGTCAAACGTCTTGTTTGTGTGTAAAAGAGATTGACTTTCCCTGCAACCAACCTGCAGGGATTATCAAGTACTTAGACAGAAAAGAACATTGCTTTAAGTCTCATTCAGAACCCCCTGAGGCACAACACAGCCTGGTATTCTTTGTGTGTTTACTTCATTTATGTTACAATAAAAACAATAAATAAAACAACGGGATCTGTACATTATCATAATATCTATGTTTAATACTATTTAGGTTGAATAACATGCAGCTAAAACATTTACATTTATAAAACAATGTGTTAATTAATTTAATTATTGCACAGCATCACATTTGTCTGTGTAACATTGAAA